AAGCTCAGCTGTGACAGCCCGGCCTGCCTTGGATGGGCAGGGTGGCATCAAGGCAGGGCTGGGTCATTCCCAGAAAAGTGAAGGTTTTCCTCGAGACAGGGAGAAGGCCCCAAATTGTCTCCTGAATTCAAATTCTGGCCTGCCTGGTGCCGGTTCTTGGCCTCCTTCTGCTCCAGGGGCAAAGATGTGAAAATATTCCACCAAATGTAGGGACTGGGCTTTTGTTTCCAAAGAGTACCTCCCTTAGTGTCTCAGGATTCCAGCCTATTAATTACCAATAACTAATTATCAATGACAACAATTCTAGTTACTTTATTTCCAAGGGGTTTGCCTCTTCCCACACTTCATTGGGAGCACAGCTGGATGTCCAGTTTGGGGTGTTGATCCCACCTCCCTGCTCAGACCCCGCTCCAGGGCAGCAGCTGGCTCTGGAATTTGGCCCAGGAGCTGAGGATTAAGGAGCCAGTGACCTGCTCCAGCCCCTGGGGTCACACAGGAGGGCAAATCCCGCTCCTGCCTTGCTCCGGGAGCACATCCCACAGATCCAACTCCAATCCCGATGTGATGCCTCTTCCTTAAAAGATTTTTTCCCCCAAAAATCCTTTCTCCACGCTGAGGAGCAGCAGGGCTGCCCCGTGGCTGAAATGATCCCCAAAAGGCCGAGCCTGGAGCTGCTGTGGGAGGATGGAGTTGTGCAGGAGGAGTTGGGATGAGGCTGACACCGACATTCCTGGGATGTGCCTCGGGGGATCTTCTGTCCCTGGATCTCCTCCATGAACAAAAGCTTTGGGAGCGTGGGTGGCTGGGCCAGACAGGGAATAAACAGGGATTAGTGGCACGGAGCCCCCCGAGCCAGGGTCGGGCTCTGTTCCCCTGAAATCCAACCCCTCACTGCTCCTGCACCACGCTGGGAGTGCTCCATCCCCTCCCTGCCGTCACCAGCTGGGAAAATCAGCTTTTCCAGGAGTTTTTACAGCTAAACCCAGCCTTGAATTCCTTGCTGTGTTTTCCTGTGCCTGTGGAAGAGCAGAGGCAGTGCTGGAGCTGTGGCACATCCCTGCCCATCCTGCTGCATCCCAATCATGGAAAATCCCAGAATGGTTTGGGTTGGGAGGGACCCTAAAACTCATCCACAGGTGCCACAGGGACACCTTCCACCACCCCAGGCTGCTCCAAGCCCCATCCAACCTGCCCTTGAAAAGACTCCCAAGATAATATTTCCAGCCAGGGAATGATGCTTCTCAAATCCAGGACTTCCTTCAGCCCTGAACCGTGGCGTGTCCCCACATTTGTCAGCGAATTTCGCCAGAATTTCCTCCTCCATAAAGCTGGAAAAATACCCAGTCCATGCTCTGTAAGGAGCAATTATTCCTTTCCAAAGCCCAATGAAATCAAAGCCGTTCCCATAATCACCTACTGGATTTTATCAGCGTGTTTGGGTTACGCTTTGCCCCTTTGGCTAATTCCTAATTGATTCTTTAATCCTGACAAGTTTTTTATTGCCTGATACAAGAGGGATTTAGCCCAGGAACCCTGGGAGACGCAGGACACGGGGCAGGGATGACCTCATCCGAAGCCAAGGCTTTATTTGATAATCTATCACTTATTTATTATTCTAAGTAACCACTTGCAGGTGCTGTGATTTCAGTGGAGCTGTCCCAGCACCCGGCACACGCCGGGGAAAGCTCAGCCCTGTGCAATCCCACCCGGAGCTGCTACTGCAGAGGGAGCAGGATCCAGCCTGTGCTGGGAAAGGGGGAAACGTGGGGATGGGCATGGTAAAATCTGTGGAAAAAATGGAGAAAAATCTGTGGAAAAATGGGGCAAAATTGGTGGAAGAATGGGGAAAACAATCTGTGGAAAAATGGGGTAAAATTTTGGAAAAATGGGGTAAAATTGGTGGAAGAATGGGGAAAACAATATGTGGAAAAATCTGTGCTACTGCAGAGGGAGCAGGATCCAGCCTGTGCTGGGAAAGGGGGAAACGTGGGGATGGGCATGGTAAAATCTGTGGAAAAAATGGAGAAAAATCTGTGGAAAAATGGAGTAAAATCTTTAGAAAAATGGGGGAAAATTTTGGAAAAATGGGGTAAAATTGGTGGAAGAATGGGGAAAACAATCTGTGGAAAAATGGGGTAAAATTTTGGAAAAATGGGGTAAAATTGGTGGAAGAATGGGGAAAAAAATCTGTGGAAAAATGGGGTAAAATCTTTAGAAAAATGGGGGAAAATTGGTGGAAAAATGGGGAAAAATCCATTCAAGAATGGGGCAAAATCTGTGGATCTGTGGAAAAATTGGGCAAAAACTGTGGAAGAATGAGCTCACACTGGGACAATTCCAGAGCTCACTCAGGGACAGTTCCAGAGCTCACACAGGGACAATTCCAGAGCTCACACGGGGACAGTTCCAGAGCTCACACGGGGACAGTTCCAGAGCTCAAAAGGGGAAAATTCCAGAGATCACACAGGAACAATTCCAGGGCTCACACAGGGACAGTTCCAGAGCTCACATGGGGACAATTCCAGAGCTCACCTGGGGACAATTCCAGAGCTCACACAGGAACAATTCCAGGGCTCACACAGGGACAGTTCCAGAGCTCACACGGGGACAGTTCCAGAGCTCACACGGGGACAGTTCCAGAGCTCAAAAGGGGAAAATTCCAGAGATCACACAGGAACAATTCCAGGGCTCACACAGGGACAGTTCCAGAGCTCACATGGGGACAATTCCAGAGCTCACCTGGGGACAGTTCCAGAGCTCACCTGGGGACAGTTCCAGAGCTCACACAGGGACAATTCCAGAGCTCACACAGGGACAGTTCCAGAGCTCACACAAGGACAATTCCAGAGCTCAGCTTTGTCCTCCTCACCTGCCTGCCTGGAAAACGTGGACAAGCTGAGGATTTGGGGCTGTGACAGGGAACCAGGACAGGGATGTTCCCACAGACCAGGCTGGCACTGCCCGTGTCCCTCCCCGGGCCAGCGCTGGGGTCATGGGTGGCACCTGGAGAGCTCAGCCAGGCACATCCTGTAAATCCTGTGCAAACCCAAAATGTGCTTTGGGGTTAGTTCTGGATGCCCCTCTGTTGTTTTTTTCCCCGGGGAGAGGTGGGATGGACACCCCAGTGCCACAAAGCTGCCACTCCAGGCAGACCTGACAGGGGTGTCCCCCCACCCAGCACAAACTGGGACCCCCAGTTTCCCAATCCTGGGGGATGCTGCTCCCCCTGGAGCCCCCGGGGCTGCAGCTGAGAGGAGGTGACAGAAATGAGCCCCTGCAGTGACAGCACAGCAAGGGGCTTTCAGCAGAAATGAATCCTGCATTTGAATTTCCTGCATTTGGAGCTGGAAATCGCCCTGGGACTGGAGGCATCGAAGGGTTCTCCCAGTGAGGAAGGGGCTGGGTCCCAGGCAGAGCACAGAAGGTGCCTTCCCAAATTATCTGCCCCTTATTGTCTGCCCGAGCTCCTTCAACCAAGCAGTACCCTCAGGAAAGCTGGAAAATGGGATTTTGAGTGGCAAGACCCCATTGTGGCTTCAATTTTAACCCCAAGTGGGGAGGGGGAAAAAAGCAGGGAGTTGGGAGAATCATTTTTTCATTAAAATCAAAATGGATCCATAATGAAAATAGACTTGGAATGGGAAAAGTTGAGCGCAAATGGAAGCTTTTAAAGATTCTTTTGACTGACAATAACCTGAAGACCCTCCAGGAACTCCAGCCTGGAATAATCAGATTAAATGGAAACTAATATACGATCCTGAAATTCATCCCATGCTGCTCTAAACTTGGAGCAGCTGGATAATTTTGCCTACAGGTTTGTGCCTCCTGCCCAGCAGTTCACACGGAATTGTTTGGCCAAACTCAATCTACCAGGAAGGAAAAAAAAAACCCAAAAACCCCAAAAATCTTTTTCCTTTCATATGTGTTAAAGCAAAGCCAGCTTTTCCAAGCAGCTGGGAGCAGGGAATGGATATGGATATGGCTGCAGGCATTTCCTATGGGAATTCCCAGCCTGGAGTTTGGCTGCTTTAAAATCAATGATTCTGATTTATAAGAGATGCAGGAATAAGGAATTCTCTGGGTTGCTGCAGTGTAGGTATTCCTGGACATTCCTGCATGGACACAAACTCATCTCCAGCAGCTCCTCACCACTGACCCCTCCACAGGGGCCACATTCCCAAAACACAAACCAAATCCATGTTTTTAGAGGAATGTTTGAAAATGGAACCTGGGTGGATCCTGGCACAGATTCCCAGAGCAGCTGTGGCTGCCCCTGGATCCCTGGCAGTGCCCAAAAATGGTTGATTTCCTCCCACCTCAGAATAATTGTTCCTTTTCTTTTCTAAATTCTTGTCCCAGGGAAACGTTTCCAATGGAATCCCCTCCTGCCCCTTTGGATGGGTTTTATCTTCCAGGCACTGCTCTGGAGCAGAGCAGGGAGCTCGCATCGAAAAAGAAAAAAAAAAAAAGGGAAAAAAAAAAAAGCTTAACAAGCAGCAAACAGAAATGGGAATGCTGGTCTGGGATCCATTATCCCTGACCCAGAGGTTGGAAAGCTAAAGAAATTCATGAAATTGGGGAGGGGGAGGCAGTGCTGCTGGGTGCCCAGGGGTGTCACCTGTCACCCATCTCCTGTCACCCAGCACCCATCCAGGGCTGCACCCCCTGGAGAAGGAGCAGCTTGGAAGGAAAATCCACTGAAACCACGAGGGAGCCCTGAGCAAAGGCACCCTGGAAGCCAGGGCAGAAGGGGAGGGAGAATTCTCCTCTCACAGCCCTGGATCCTCGGCATGGGGACACACATTTGGACACCACACCAATTTTGGATTCTCCCCAAAACACAAATCAATCCCAGGACTCACCTCATTCCTCACCTGCCACCCCATTCCCACGGGAGCTGCCTTGTCCCTGGTAGAGACTGAGGCTCCTTATTTTTTTCCCCTTTTAGCACTTCCAGGAAAAACAAAAACTCAGTGAAGCTCCTGCTGGTTATTCAACAATTGTTTCCTTTAATCCCTTCCAGGAACACGTTCCCAGTGGTGCCCATTTGGTATATGTGGTCAAAAAGGTGCAAGGAAACATGGAAAAGGGCATTCCTGTGCCTGCCTCCACAGCCCACACAACCCCAGAGATCCTTCCTGGTTTGTTTTCCCATTTTTGTTTCAAACCCACGTTCAGCTGCTTTTGGCAACACCAACGCCTCGCCCAAAACCAGTGATGGTTATTTGCTTGCCTTTTTCCCAGTTCCAGAGGAATTCCTGAATGGAGCAGCCTGGCAAAAGAAATCAACCACTGAGGTGAGAAAAAGCAGCTCACAGAGCAAGTGGGCAAACTGGCTGGGAATGTTCTGGAAAGCAGGCGTGAACACGGAGATGGATATAAAACAGAGGCAGGAGGTGTTGGGAAGGGAGCTGCCTGTTCTCCATCTTCCCCGCTGGTCCCTCTTGTCCCGGCCATCCTTTTCCCTCAGTCCTGCACGGGATAAGGCCAATTCCTGTCCTCAAAGAACTTCCTCAGGCCCTGCAGGTTGACGGGGGGGAAATAGGGGCCGATCCTTTTCCGGATCCACCACTTCCCGTCGCGGGCGTGCTTCCCCCCGGGCTGGCTGAACTTGTACCTGAAGTGTTCCCCCCGGATCCACCTGTGGAGACAACAACAGCAGCTCAGGGCTTGCCATGACTTCTGGGAAGAGGCTTGGACCTTGGGATTGGTGTTTTGGAGCCTTTCTGGATGGAGAAATCAGCTTGAGGGTGCTCAGCGTGGCTTCACATCCCAGTACTCCATCCATTTGTCCATCCATCCCTCATCCATCCATCATCCATCCATCCATCATCCATCCATCCCTCATCCATCCATCCATCCATCCATCCATCCATCCATCCATCCATCCATCCCATCCCATCCCAGGGATGCCCACAGCACACAACAGTGACACTGGGAAGGTTTTGGGAAGGCTTTGGGAAGATCCCAGGCTCCTCCTGATGCCATTTAGGAATGCTGGCATCCAGCTGTGCCTTGGGAACGATGCAGGAGCACAGGAGCTTTAACCTGCCCTGAGCACTCCCCACGCCTTTCCACAGCTAAGTATGAAAGAATAATAACAATAAAAGCAGGAATAAGAAAGTTTTTTCCTTTCTCAGAGCCACCCTGGAGTGTTTCTGCCTGGGAGATTTTGGAGCAGGGATTCTGAGTCCCCCAGCACCCCCTGCCCGGCCAGCGTCAGCGCGGCTCTGAATCTGTTTTCCGGCTGCTCCGGGAGCTGACAGCGGAGGAGGTTTGAAAGCAGTGCAGAAAGAAACATTCATCAGTGTCAGGAAACACTCTGGGAGCTGCCCATGCCGCTGGATCCGGGGGGTTTGTCCCCCTTGATGTAGGACATGCTGACAAGGGCCGGAGCGGCGCCCGCGCCGGGAGCATCGCCGGGCGAGTCCATAAAATACCCACAAAATAAAACTGTCAAAGTCGTGTCAGTGCTCATTTAAACCTGCTCTGCTCCACTAGGAAAATACAGACCCTGCTACTGAGCAGGGCACCGCAGCTGGGGGATCCCTGGAGCGGCGGGAAGGTCCTTCCTGCTGCTGAAATAATTAGGGACGGCTCCGATGGATTTGCCGTCAGCGCTCGGCTTTGGGGAGCGGGGCAGAGTGAGGGGCTTGGAGAAAGCTGCACCCAGTCCAAGGGTGGCTCCAGCACAGCCCAACAGCCCTGCTCCAGTCCTGCTGGGAACCAGGAGAGCAGCACAGGAAGGATTCTCCTACAAAACCATGGGAATATGAGATGCCATGGGGGATTTGGAGTGCCCATCCCTGAGGGTGTCCAAGGAACTCCTGGAGGTGGCACTCAGAGCTCTGGGCTGGGGACAAGGTGGGCATGGGGCACAGGTGGGACTTGCTGCACTTAAAGGCCTTTTCCAGCCTCAGAGATCCTGGGATTCTGTGTCCATCACACCCACCATGTTTTCCAGAGCAGCTGTGGCTGCCCCTGGATCCCTGGCAGTGTCCCAGGCCAGGATGGACAGGGCTTGGAGCACCTGGCACAGTGGAAGGTGTCCCTGCCATGGCAGGGGTGGCACTGGGTGATATTTAAGGTCCCTTCCATCCCAAACCACTCCATGACCTCCATTTCCCCCCTCTCCTCTGAGGTTAAAGAAAGATAAATGGGAAAAGGGGCCCTGAGTGGAATTTGGGGAGCATAAACCTGCATCTCACCCCCACAAACTCTGCCCTGCAGCTGCTGCCTTCATTCCAGCCTGGCCCATTCCTGCCCTCCCTCTTTTCCCTGCTTTCTGAGGCTGGGAAAAGCCAAACAGGGGCTGGAGTGTTATTCCCACAGGGTTTCCTTTGCAGGAGCACAAAATTCCTGTTAATAACTGAGTGTTCCTGAACAGCCTCGTCCCTGAGGGTCCAGGTAGCCACTCCAGGATGATTGGAGATTTCCAGTTGCTGCCTGACTGCTTTCTGGAATTCCCAAAACATCTCCAATCCCAGATCCACCTCCTAAAAATGCTTCAGAGGCTGATTTTATGGCAGTCTCCTGCTCCCAGCATCCTCCACCTGCCACTGTGATGCTTTTTCCTTCACTAAGTGGCTGCAGAGCACTTCCCAAGCTGGATCCACCTCCATATATTCCTAAAATAAATGGAGAAAGGTGGAAAACCTGGAACTCAGGAGGGAATATTTCCTTGCCAGGCTCGGGATGTAAAAGCTGCAGTGTTTAATACCCACTGGAGCCCCTCATTTCAGGGCTCACAGAGTTTACAAGCTCTGCCAGTGTTTATAACCTGCCTGGGTGCCTCAATCCTGGAATTATGGGGTTTTCCAGCTCCTCCAGTGCTGGTGCTGCTCCCTCTTCCCAGGATTCAGGGAGGGAAGGTGCTACTAACTCCCATCCTTCCAGGGCTTCCAGAGTTTGTGCAGTTTTGGGGCTTCCACAAAGATCTCCTGGCAGCTGGAAGGGATCCACAGGATCTTGGAGACTGAGCCTGCAGGAGATTCCCTGATTCCTCCTCTGGAGAAACAGCAACAGCCTCTGGAAGGTCAGGAAGGAGCTGCCTGACCTCACCAGGATGTCCCAGGTACTCAGAGAAGGATGAGAAGGACTTGTGGGGATTTACTGAGCAAACACAAACTGGCAGCTCCTCCTGGATCCCTGGCACCAGCTCCCATTAAAAATGGGTTTAAACTGAAGGATTTGATGGGATATTGGGATACAGGAATTCCTTCCTGGGAGGGTGGGAAGGCCCTGGCACAGATTCCCAGGGAAGCTGTTGCTGCTCCACCCTGGAAGTGTCCAAGGCCAGCTTGGATGGGGTCTGGTGGAGGATATCCCTGCCCATGGCACGGGTGAGACTGGATGGCATTCCAAGGACTTTCCCAGGAGGTGGAAAACAATCTCTGCTGTGAGAAAAAGGGGACAAAAGGGTCCTTTGGACAACTTTGGACAACTTTGGACAACTTCTGCTCCAACAGCGGCGCCAGGAGAGCGACAACACCGACGGAGGAGGCACAACTGAGCCGCCCCAAGAACCTTCTGCCACCACCCTTCGGGGCATCCCCAGCGGGCTGGGCAAGGCCCCGGCCTCGGGGAGAGGCCAGAAAAGCTAAAAATAATCAGCATTATTTTTGAAAGCAGCGTTTTCCCCCCAGCAGATGCCCGGCAGCAGCTGCCCCGCAGCGCCCTCGGGAGCCGCTCGTGGCTCGGCCCCTCCTGCCATCTCCCAACTGGATGTGTTAAAAATTAGCAGCAATATTGGAGTTGTTGGGATGGGGGCCTAAATCTCCCAGACAGCTGTAATTAGTTCCAGAGGGTGCAGCTGTCTCCCTGCAACAGCTGAGGGGTTCCAGGGGAAAAAAAAAAAAAAAAAACAACAAACCCAGTGGTGGTTTTTGTTAGAATTAATGGCCTGCCAAGGCAAGGAGGGGTGGGAGAGGGAAAGGAAGAAAGAAAGCAAAATGTGGGGTGTTTTTTTGAGGTTTTTTGGGGTGTTTTATCTCGAGGTTCCCTGCTCTGTTGTAAATCAGGCGGTGGGAAGGCCAAATTCATCAAGGTAACATTGCTCCAGCATCGCTGTTCTTGCCCTGTTGGTGGGAGGGAGCATAAATTAATTCATCTTGGCCTAAACTGAGGGAAGCAGGGCAGTTTTGGGGTTGTTTTTTAGTGCTGCTGATTCTGAGGCTCCTGCAGGTTGTGGTCCCACAGAGGTGGAGCATCCCAGGGGCAGCTGATCCACAAAATCCCCTTGGGAAGTGGCACAGTGGGGTTTTTCCTCTCTGCATGGGTTAGGAAGGGTGGGACAACACCAAGGGCAGAGAAAACTGTGGGGGAAAAAAAAAAAACAACCTGGCTCCAGATGGATCCAAGGCTGGAATTCACCCTGCCAAGGAAGAGAGATCCCATGGCCACCAGACTTCCCAGCCTGGGGGAAATCCTGCCAGCTTGGGATGAGTTCTGCCTTCCCTGAAATACTGAGGGGTTTTTCCCCAAAGAAAACCCCTTAAACTTCCCTTCAGGACTGTGGAATTTAATTCTGGTAATAGCTGAGAGATTCTTTTCCACTTAATCCCAGTGAGGCCTGGATTTTTCAGGAATTCCCACTCCTTGCCTGTTCTCAGCACTGCTCCAGAGTCACCCTTGTCCCTCTGGGGAGGGTCCAAACCCCAAATTTGCTTCTACAAAGTGCAAATATGACCAAGCTCTTCCCATGGCTTGCACAGATCCCAGCCCAGGTATCAAGTCCAGTCACTTTCAAATGGGAAATCAAATAAAATCCCATAAAAAGGATCCCAAATGCCCCATTCCCCCGTGTTCCAAAGCATCCAAAGGGAGGTACCAGCTCCCTCACAAACACCACCACTCCAAACCCAGCTCTTCACACCCATGGTGTGGCTTTTCCAACAAACTGCTACTTTAATTGAAATAAAAATCCTGAAGTGACCATGATTTAATATCAGAGACACCAAACAGACCCAAAAATCTGTTTTGGTTTTTTTTTTTCCCCCTCCTGTGTACTAAATCTGATTTTTGTTTCCTTTGATTGTTGCAGCCTTTTCCACGGTGTGTTCAACACTTCTTAATTTCTCAGCCCAAGCCCCCCTGTTCAGATTTATGAGGGCTGGGCTTTTATGAACTATCCACTGCCCCAGAATATTTGGGAAATCCACATTCCCCAAACATCACCAGCCTCGAGGTCCAAGCTTCCCACTCAGCCAGGCCCTCAACAATGCCCTCATTTTTAATCAGTCACCTGTTTCTCATTTGAAGTTTATCACACTTGAAAAAAATACTATAATTTCTTGAGTTGTAAAGAACCCTCCAAACTTTGGTCTCCGAAATTTCATTTCGAAGGCATTAACTCATTCTGAAAGTCCCTTGGCTATTTAAGGTGTAGAGTTTCCATTAACAGAACAAACTCTGTGGAGGATGGAGTGCAAGGTTCTTATGGAAAACAGCCCCTTCCCCTAATTATTTAGTCTAGCAGGGAATGAAAATAATTAAGTCTCAAAATTCCCTTTGGAGTGGAGGGAGGGGGGAATAATGGTAGGAAAATTAGGAGTTTTTTTTTCCACCCAGCTACTGTGGTGGGAATGAAGGGATCCCTAAGGTTGGCAACAAACTTTCCCCTCAATCTGGATAAAAGTCCAGGATCAGGGAATTACAGGGTCAGGGATGGAAGGGAGGTTAAAAATCATCCTGCCAAGGGTGCCCGGCCACAGAGGGCAGGGTTATGGGATATTGGGAAGGAATTCCTCCCTGGCAGGGTGGGCAGCCCTGGCACAGGTGCTGGAGCTGCCCCTGGATCCTTGGCAGTGCCCAAGGCCAGGCTGGATGGGAATTGGAGCAGCCTGGGACAGTGGAAGATGCTGGGGTTGGAATTGGATGAGCTTTAAGCTCCTTCCCAACCCAAACCATTCCAGGATTTGGGGATTTTTAACATATTGGGGTTTACAAAGCACCTCAGAGGAACCATTTTGGTAAAAGTGGGAAGTTTCCTGGGCCTCAGCTGGACAAGGAGTCTCTCTCCTCAGAGGGTTTAGGGGATGCAGTGCCCTAAAGCTGGAAAACATCAGTGGGATCCAAGGGGAATTTCATTCCTGGACCTGCATCCCTGTTTGCAGTGCATCCTCAGAGCCTCAAATGGAAAACATTAGCAGCAGCATAACATGACTTGACTTGATCCAAAACGCCCCAAAAAATGTTTTCTCAGCTAAAAATAACTCCATCAACAAAAGAGACGCTTTGGGGACAAAATTCCTTTTGTGTAAAACCTCGGAGTTTTCCTCTGTGCCTTTCCCTGGCTGATGTTGGCTTTGTCTCTTCCTTGAAAACACAAACAATTCCAAGATGAGTGTCCACAAACTCAATAATTCCTGCAGGGCTGTTTTGTCTTTGAAACACCTCAGGAGGTCCGTGGAAATGGTGGGGTTTGAGCTGAGCTCACAAAGAACGTGGCAAAAGCCCCGGAGCCGAGGGGCAGGACAGCACAGCAGGAGGGAGCATTCCTGGCCAGGAGCAGCAGCACCGAGCCCTTCCTGGATCTGCTGGGAATGGGCTCATCCCAAGGGTCCCTGTGGCCCCTCCAGGGGGGAACTGAGGTGCTGGCAGCACTGTGGTGTCCATCAAAGCCACCCTAAATCCCTAAATCCCACCCCAAATGCCACCAAACACAAACCCCAAGAGGAACCTCCTGTGCACGTCCAGGGTGGGAACAAGGTGGAGCCTCCAGCTCCCTTGGGATAACTCCAGGCTCACCTTGGAGGGTCTCTGCCTGCAAAGGGGTTTGTGGCCAGCAGGGACAAGGTCTCCTCCTCCTGGGCCAGCAGCTTCCCAGCCAGGTGGATGATCCATTCGTTCTGCTCGTAGGTCTGGGGGGAGGAAGGAGAAATGGAAATGTTAGGAACTGCTGGGGTTTTCCTGGAGTATTACTGGGATTAAAGATTCCTGGCCTTGGGGAGGGATATCAGCGGATTTGGGTGGAAAGTGGTGAATTTCCCAGTGTTTCAGCACATGTCCCATGGGATCCTTGAGGTCCAGGCAGAGACTGGCACCCTCAGGGAGCAGGGAGAGCTTCCCTGGGTTTGTGTCATCTCATCTGCTAATTCTGCCCCCAAATACCTGATTTAAAGAATTGATTTAGCAGCAAACCCCACAGGGGAACCATAACAGCACATTTTCCAGGGATAACCCATCCATCCTTTTAATCCAGATTGCTTTCCCCTGGAAAAAGGCTTTGGGTTGGTTCCCTTGTGTTATCCAAAGGAAAACAGAAGGAAGTGGCTTCTCTCTTCCCAGTTCCTGTCTCCTCTTTATTTCCTGCTGTGTGATCCGTCCTTCCTCATGGAACCCCTTCTGGAGCAGTGGCAGAGTTTGAATTCAGTTAATTCTGAGGAAGCAGAGATTTGGCCTGGATGATCCTTATGGATCCCTTCCAGCTCGAGACATTCCCTGATTCTCTAATTTCCCTCCCTGCAGGAATCCTGCTCTTCTTCAACCTCCCCAAAAGCATTTCCCCACGGTGACTTTCTGAGATTTCTCCTTTTCCTGCTTTTTGCACGAGTTCCTGGGTGGATTTTGGAGTGCAAGCAGTAGGGGACACTGTGGGAAAGGGAAAGCCGGGAGCTGTACCTGCAGGGCTCTCAGCACAGCTCAGCCCCGAGGTAAAGCTGCTGCCAGAGCTCCCCTCACGGCCCGCTTTGTTATTCCTGTCTCCAAGGGAAACGGGAGAGAAACCATGGAAAACACCAAGGCCCATCGGGGCAGCTCTACCTCGCAGGGTTTCTGACCCCAGCTCATCAGGATTTAGAGGAAAACCACAGTTATTTCAGCCAAAAAAGCTTCTCAAAAGGATGACTCTTCCCCCTCCTGCTCCTTCCATCTGCTCTCATCCATCAGGGATGGACGATGGAGACAGGGATGCTCCCTCCACCACCCCCCAGTGCCACCTCCTGGGTTCTCAGGGAGGGACAGGGGACAGAGGCCACCGTGGGACTGAGGCCGTGGTGGTCCTGACACAACAGGGGACACGGCGAGCCCTGGAAGCAGGAGCCTGGCATGGGGTGGGGTGTGCCACACCAACCTCACCCACGTCCCAGGGAGAGCTGGCACCGTCCCCATCCCTGCCCGTGTCCCCAAGGGTCACTCACTCCCAGTCTCCGTGTCCCTCAGCAGCTCTGGGATGGGATTTGGGAAGGTGGTGCCACCCTGGGAATCCCTGGCTGGCACAGAGGAGCTCCCAAAAGGTGCCACAGCAGGGATCAAACACCACAAGTGACACCTTCAGCATCCTGGGTCTCCCTGGGCATCCCAGTGCTCGGGATGATGTTGAACATCATTTCCAGGAGAGCCTGGGAGATTCGGGAGCTCCTGGGTGCAAGCTGGGAAGCAGCAGGAGGATGGAAACAGGAACCACCAGAAACCCCAAGCTGGAGCTCGAGGAGGCCCCCAGACCTTGCAAGCCTGACTGAGAACCAGGAGGCTCCAGGAAGGTGGGATCGGCTCCCGTGGTCTCCAAATTGTTAATTAGCAGCTCTGTGCTCACCAGAGTCGGACTTCTGGTCTGTAAAGTGTTTTTCTTGTAAAATTTACAACATGTCTGGCCCCAGTGAATTCTGCGGTGAGAAATTTCCAGGCGGTGCAGCCCCCGCCCCCCTCCCCGGGCTGTGCTAACGACCCTGCTTAACTCATTACTCTGGAAAGTGATACCCTGGAAAAGGCAGGGAAAAGAGTCCGGGAGATCCGGGCTGCACCCAGGGAAGAGTCACTCCAAGGGGCTCCTCTGTCCGTGGATCCAGCGGGATCTGAGTGTGCAGCACAGAGCCTGAACCATCCGGGGCACTAATTACAGGAGAAAAAATAATCCAGGATAGATTGCTGGGAGGTGGGCTGGCCTGTTTTGGGGTCAGTTGTGGGGTTTGGATCTTCAATGAGCACGAGAAGCAGCTGGGAGTGATCCTGCACAGTGATGGATCCCTGGGCTGCTCCATCTCCATCATCTCCATCTCCATCCAGACATGGATCACAACTCCCTCGGCTGCTCCTGCCCTCCCTGGGGCCACACAGAGCCTGGGCTGCATCCATGCTGGGGTTACTGGGGGAGCAGTAACCTGGCACTGCAGGGAGCCCCATCCCTGTCTGACCCTGCCCAGTGCAGCCCCCAGGGGAGGAACACACTTCCCTTCTCATCTCTGGAGAGTTCTCCTTCTCTTCTAGCACAGAAAGCAATTCAGGGACCTGAACACACACAAAAACCCCACAGCCAACCCAGCACAGCAGAGCTGAGGGGTCCCACAGTTACCCAGCCCTGAAGCCAAAGCCTGTCTGTGTTCATGCCAACACAAGGCACCTTCTTGGTGCTTATCAAAGAAAAACTGCTCCAAAATAACAAAATACTGCTGTCCTCAGACTGCATTTAAAGCCCAGTGTTTGTTGGATCGTTCCTTGAAGCCGCTCCAAAAGTCTGTGGATGTAAAACCTGACGTGGAGCAGAGCTTGGGGTGCTCTGGGATGCAATGTGTGTTTTCCAGAGAGGAGGATATTTGTAAAAAAACCTTCAGCTGCTTTCCTAAGAGCAGAGAGAGCCTCCAGCAGCAGGGCTGGTGCTCTGGGTGGTAACAGAGAGTGATGGAAACTTCAGGTTATGCATGAGCTGGAAGAGCTGAGGAAAAGGAACCCCATTTCTGGAGAAGGCAGGTTCACCCCAAGGACACCCCGTGCAGATCCATGGAAATGTGAGGGGCAGCTCTCCAGCCACATCATCCTCAGCTGTCCCCCCAGCACCCAGAACCTCCCAAACTCCTATTTCAGGCACAGCAGAGGGGACCAACAAAGAACTTGGGGCACTTTTTTTGCTAAGCTTTGAATTCCTGATGGGTTTCAGCCTCGTGCAGAGCTCAGGCAGACACTTTCCCCCTCTCTCCATGCCAGTCTCACCCCAAATGCCTCTTTGGGAAGGGGGTTTGCTCCTTCCCCCAGGCACACGTGAGGAGCTGAGCAGCACTGCCCTGGGACTCCCCTGCAGCTGCTGGCATCCCTGACCTCCCCACTCCGACACCTTCCCAGGGAATAACCACGGTGTTCTCACCTTGAACACATTCACTCGTGTCCAGGAGAATTTAATAACTCTACAGGACTGAAACCCACAGCTCTGCTAAGGCAGGCACCAGCGAGCAGCCAGAGCAAAGCAGCCACAGTAGCAACCAAACCCTGCTGATAACAAAGCCAAGGGAACGTTATCATCCCAAAAAAAAAAACCCCAAAAACCCCCCGGCGCTACAGGGAACATGTTCCCAACTGAAATAATAATAATAAGGAGGCTTTTCCTTGAGCTTTAATTGGTCATTTAATGAAAAAGGGCTGGGGATTAGCGTGGTGTTTTATGGAATCTCGGGGCTGGCACGGGCACAGGAGGAGGTCAGGATGGGATGCACATGTGGGAACAGCTGGAAACTTGGCACGGGAGCCCAGGGTTATTATTTCACGTGCTTGGGAGCCCCGAGTGGTTTCAGGTCGGAGTCAGTGGCTGCCAGAGGGGCAGGGCAGGTTCCATTTCCCCTGCTATGGTGTGAGGGGCTGGTTTTGTGTCACAGCTGAGCCACTGTGGCTGCAACACGGGAATTCTACCACGGAATTTTGGGCATTCTCACCCCATACCCACCCTGCTGTAGTTCAGCACCTTCAGCGTTGCTGTTCAGGGAGTGTGAGCTGTCAGGAGGAACAATCTCTGTCAGAAAGGAGGCCACAGGTAATGGCACCCCTTGTTGTTTTATGGAATTCCAGCTCACCATCACTTGTTACCACCCTGCTGTCCAAGGAAGGGCCATGTCATTATCTCCAATAACCCCATGGAATCCTGGAATGGTTTGGGTTGGAGGGACCCTAAAGCCCACCCAGTGCCACCCCTGCCATGGCAGGGACACCTCCCACTGTCCCAGGCTGCTCCCAGCCCTGTCCAGCCTGGCCTTGGGCACTGCCAGGGATCCAGGGGCAGCCACAGCTGCTCTGGGAATTCCATCCCAGCCCCTCCCCAGTCTGACAAGGAAGATTTTTTTCCTAATTTCATCCCTTTTTTCTGTGAGTTTCCCAAAGCCATGTCTCCAGCCCAATGCGCATTACTCACTAAAAGCCACCCCTCAATCCATCCCATCAGCAAATCCTTGGGAAAGCAGCTGCTCCCTGAAGGAGGCAGGAATAAAAGGCTGCATGAGAGAGCAGAGCAAGACTTTGGGAATCAGCTCCTGGATCCCACCTATGCAGGGAAAGGCCACACCTGGCACGGCTCCTGTGTCGGGGATGAAAAGTCCCTTTGTTCCAGGGTGGGGTCTGGCAGTGGCCACCGGGCAGGAACCCCTCCCCAAGCCAAGGTCTCCCTCTGGATTTATCCAGGGCACGACAGGATATCTGCTTTGGCATTCTGGGCACTTCCCTGGCACTGCTGCTGCAGGAGGCGAGGCTGCCTGGAATTCTGCATGGCCACAGGGAGACAATGACAAAAAAATGATCCCAGGGAAAAGGAGGAAACAAAACTTCCCTGTGCAGAATGCTGCAGGGGAATGAGCTGAGCCCGTGTGTGGAGAGGGGGAAGGAAGGAAATGGAGCAGGCTGAGCTCGGTGCAGGGAGCACTGAGGGTTGGTGGTGACACCCACACTCCTCCCCCGGGCAGATTTTCCCTCTGAGCACCTTCTGGCTGCAAGGCTGAGATAACAGGAGGCTCAAATGAAATATCTGACAAGAATATGAACCTGCCTTCTCCAGAAATGGGGTTCCTTTTCCTCAGCTCTTCCAGCTCATGCATAACCTGAAGTTTCCACCACTCTCTGTTATGGTTGTGCTTGAGGGTGCCAGGACGAGGGAAGAGAGGAGAACCTT